AGGGGTGTGGGGTGTGGGGTGTGGGCGGGGTGCAGCCCAGCGCCCGGGCCAGTTCCCACCCCACTTCCCCGAGGGGGACAAGCAGGTGCCGGTGCAGGGGGCTCGGTCACCGAATCTGTCTTCTTCCCTGGGGGGCGTTTCCTCCCTCACCGACTTGGCACTCGGCCGCATTCATTCCACAGATCCCTGTTTGCGCGAGGCCCCAGCTCTTGGGGATCAGCCTTATCTCGACCCCGCTTCTCCCCGCTTCTCAGTCAGGGAAATGCAGGAGGGGAACGGGGAGGAAGCTCATCGGGGAGGAAGCTTTTCAGGAATCAAACCTCTTTTCAAGACAGGGCAACGCCAGGTGTTGGTCGAGGTTTTCCTGCGGCTGGGCCGGCCGCTTGGGGGAAGGGGCAGGTGCCCCGAGATGTTCTAGCTGTTCTTCCCCTGCTCCCGGCAAGGACAAACATATTCCCCCACTTGTACTGCCACCGAGGAACCTGGGAGAAACCCAGAAGGCAAAGGTTGAGATGGGGCCACCGCCCTGGAAGGGGACCCGAATCGCCCCAGAAAGGCCCTGCTTTGCATTTCCCTTGGGGCTCTTGGGGGCACACATTTCCTGGCCACGAGCTGGGCTGCCACTCCCCACGCCTGCTGCCCCTGGCACCTCGCCCGCTGCAGAGCCGCTGGCCTGGGCTCCCGGGTTCTGTGCTAGAGACCACGGGCCCTCAGGGAGTCCCGCCTGGAGCCTCGAGGGGCCCTGCGTAGGGCGTCAGACTCAGGCGGGGGAACAGAGGCGTGCCATGCCCTGGTCACCTGGGCAGGCATCTGTCCCACTAGTGGAGAAATCCACTCGCTCCTTCACTCCCTCAGTCACATGCCACATCCTGAGACCCCGCGGTGCGCCTGGCTCTGTGCTGCACGCTGCGGGTAGGACAGTGAACCAGGCAATTGTGACGGGGACCCTTGGGGACATTCTGCAGGGGACACACACACACGGCACCTCGCCCACGCAGAGCATCCACAGGAGATGGTGTGCGAGCGAGAGCTGGAGGTCGGGCAGACGCGGGGCAGGCGGAGGGGAGGAGGGGGGCGTGCCGGGCGGGGGAGCAGCACGTGCCAAGGCCCAGGGGCGCGTGGGGCTGAGGCGAGCACAGGGCTGGGCACCCCAAGGGGAGCTGAAGGGGAGCGAAGACGAGGCTGTGTGGCTGACGGTTCTGGCTGCCGAGCGCGGGGTGGGCTGGAGGGAGCCTGGCCAGAGTGGATGGGGATGCTGTCCCCCGAGACGATGATGCAGAGCAGGAGGCTGGACGCAGAGGGAGCAGGGCATTCGAGAGAGCCGAGAGCAGCAGTTCCAGGGCCCCGTGACTGGCCCTCGGGGAGAGAGAGGTTTCTGGACGTCTGTGAGGTTTCTGGCTTGGGTGAACGGCGACGCCACTGAGCGGGGTGCCGAGCACAAGGGGAGGCTGGGTCAGGAGCAGCGAGCCCCACGGCCCCGCACCCTGCCCCTCCCTCATGCTCTGCTGCCCTCCTCTGTCCACCTCGCCCCCTCCCACTCGCCTCTGCCCTGAGCACCCCTGAGACCTGAGCATCCCCCCGCCCGCCCTCCCGCCAGCGCCCACAGCAGGTAGAGGATCTGCGAGAGGCCTGGACGCCTCCGCTGGCCACCAGGGCGTCCGGCCTAGATCGTTTCTGACCAGCCCACGTGCCCCTCACTGAACAGAGGTGTTGTCACGGGTTTCTGCCCCGAATCCCTCTCACGGGGCCTCCCCCGCCCCCCGAGCCTCCAGCCCAGCTCCAACACAGGCCCTTAGTCTCTCTCTGCCTCTCTCTTTCCTCCCAGACCTTAGGCAGAGGATCCTGCAGGTGCTGAGGGACACGGGCTCCCCTGTGAAGGCTCCCCAGCTGCAGAAGAAATGTGGCGTGCCCAGGAAGAGACTCAACCAAGTCCTCTACCAGATGAAGACTGAGCAGCTAGTGGTCCGTCTAGACCTCGCGACATGGGGCCTGAGCGGGGGCACGACTGGAGAACTGGTTCCCACAGAGCCGGCCCGGTCCAGCCAGGGTAATTTTCCATCCTGGGGGGCGGGGATGAGCAGGCCTGGCAATGGGCAAGCCCGGATTTGGGCCTGGGTTCGAACAGCATCTCTACGCCTTGGGGCGCGTGATGTCCCCTCACTGTGCCTTGGTTTCCTTTTCTGGCCAGTGGAGATGACAGTGAGGCTCCTACATAGGGTCGAGAGAGGATGACATGCAAAGGGTTCAGCCTAGTGCCAGCACATAGTAGGTGCTCAGCAAAATATGAATCATGAAAACAAGGTCATACCAATGGCAATAACGACGATAATGACGCATATAAGAGACCACGTAGCATCGCGCCAGACCCTTTCCAGTCCTGCAGTTCACAGACCGAGGTTGCTGACGTGCACCAGGTGCTTACAGCGGGCCAGAGCAGTCCCGGGCCTCACTCGGGTGGCACTAGATGGTGTCCCAGTCCCTTTTCCCAGGGACGTCAGGCAGCAGAGAAGCCACACTGCTGGAAAGTGGCAGGTCAGGATTTGAAGCCAAGTTCGTTGAGCCCCAGGATCCGCTGCGCTGGGGCCCCCCTCCGTCTGGTGGGGCCCCCGTCCCTTCCCGCTCCTCACCCCTCACCCGTCCTTCTTTCTGCAGTGGAGAAGCCCCGGCAGGTCGCAGCTGCGATTTCAGGCAGACCTGGCTCTCAGCTCAGCGAGCAGCGTAAGCACCCTGCTTTCCTTTCCGTTCCCGGGACGCGGGGCCCATTTCCTCAGAACCACCATGACCTTGAGGTATTGATGAGTGGTCAGGGGCTATGCCCCAGCCACTAAGTTTCCCGTAAGGTGTTCTGAGTCCAGACTCAGTTTCCACAGTGAAGAAGCTAGGAGGCTCAGATCATCTCTCTGACGGAGAACTGACGGTCCTTGTGTCCCTACCGCTTGCTCAGAGCCCCTGATGTCCACCCCTGGGCCTCGGGGCAGCCCTGGGTACAGTGCTGTTGGTGCCACTTTGCAGACGAGGGGGCTGGGCACAGAGGGGCTGGGTCCTGCCAGGGTCACACAGCTAGTGAGCAGGGGAACAGAGTCAAACTCCCAGGGTCCTTCTCAATCACCTGCCGTCCTGCTTCCCAGAGGAAAAGATCTACAGGCTTCTGGAAGATGGTAGGCCCCAGAATGCCCTGAACATCGCCAAGGCCCTGGGGAAGAAGACAACAAAAGAGGTCAACCCAGACTTGTACGCCATGAGAAACAAGCACCTTCTGGACTATGACTCAGACTCAAATGCATGGACGGTTTATCGACCAGGTAGGTCCTTACCTGCTGTGCACACCTGGGCAGGCAGAGCTGGGAAGAGAAACGCAGACGGCCAACAGTCAGTCCTCCCAGGCACCCTCCCAGCCCTTTGCCTGCTCCACCTGTCACACCGTCCTCAGAGCTTGGTCTTGCTGACCGGTCGCTCGAAGAGGGTTCCAGAAGGGAGGAGCATGCTGGCGGAAGTAACCAGAGAGGACTTCCTGGAGGCAGGGCCTGAGGCTGCAGTCGCAGAAGGCAAAGGGCTGGGAGAAAGGTAGCCGGCTCCTCACTGTATCAGCCCCGCAGGGCTCAGCCTGAGTTGGCTAACGGTGTCCTGTAAGCACTCTGCCCACCTTGGTGTTTAGAAGTTGCTGGAAGCGAAGATCCAGGCCGGGCTCAGATAGCTGCAGGGCGGAGCCCGGGGCCGACTTATCCAGTAGGCGCAGCAGGCAGAGGGCCTAGAGCCCACGGCACTTTTACAGGTCCATGAAAATGTTCTACTTTCTCTTAAAATCAGAAGAACAAAGTGAACGTTGTAATAATAATGAATAGCTATAATGACTCTAGCTTAGATTATATTTGTCTTTATCCCAAGGCAGTCGTAAAATGTAATTTTTAGTATTTTTTTATGGAGGACGAGGCCCACAAAGGCACCAGAACCTGGGGCCCACGAAGATGAGGAGTTAGAGAAGGTCTGGGCGAGCGCCCCCCCCCCCACCTACGTGGGGTGGACGCCCCTGCCCACAGCGCCCCAGGGGCTCTCAGCATCCTAGGGGTACTAACCTGTGACAGTGGCCGGACTGTAAACACACTGGTGACAAATTAAAATTATTTTTTTCCCCCCACAAGGAAATAGGATTTAATTCTACAAATTTACAAATCAAGATAAAATAAAAATGAAACGTGGAAAACCAAACAAGACCAAGCAGCCCAAGACCTGACAAATCCAAATTCTTAAAAATGCCTTGTGAGCCAAACAGAACTTCTCCGTGGATCAGAGACGGCCCATGGACAGCCTGTAGCTCAGTGGTCGGCACTGTGGCTGCCTCTCAGGGAGGGGCAGAGGACACAGAGGGGGTGACCCTGCCGCAGTGATGTCCAAGGGAGTCTCGTCTGAGAGGCCTGTGGCAGTTGTGAAACAGCTGGCTCCAGCCGGGACCCACCGACGTGCACCCCTGGGGGCTGGGCACCTGGGAGTCTGCATTTTCAAAGTCCCCAGGAGGTTTTGGTGCTGCCGGCTGCCATTCGGAACCGCTGACCCCTGGAGAGGTACAAAGAGTGGAATATTATTTTGCAGAAGGTTCTGGAGGAAGAAATCAGTCCACTGCAATCATCTACCAGCAAAATGCAATCAACATGATCTGTCAGAACGGCCCTAACAGCCACATTGCCATTGGGAACGCTAAAGCCATCCAGATTGGGCACGGGAACGTCATGGCGAGACAGTCAGACCACGGTGAGTCCGCTGGCAGAGGCCAGGAGACCCTCCGGGGGCAGCTGCTCCCCCGGGCGGGGGCAGGGATGATGGGCGTTCAACCTTCAACCCTCTGAGAAGGGCACTTTCAGGTCACCAAGGTCTCCTTGGTGGCCTTCCTGAGAACGAGGACAGCTTCCTTCGTGCCCGGATCCGTCCTGTCCTGCCTGCTCACCTCACATTCTGACACCTTTCACCTCATTCTCTGGGGGACCTGATACTTTCCCAGGAGAAGCAATTCAGTTCACGCTCCCTCAGTAGCCTGTCACAAGTGGTCACTGTAGCATCTTGTGTGTTCTGAGACCTACTGTTTTCTTCCCCACACTTTAACTTCTCAGAGATTGGGGTGCATCTCCCCAGCGGCATCCTAGTTTGGATGAAATACGACCCTGCAGATGAGTGCTTACTCTGTGCCGAGTACCGTGGTGACAGAGACAGGGCCGCCCTGCGG